TATAAGGGCTGAGCAGAAAATTAACTAATGAAATTAGTTTAAATGGTGAAAAATGCCTTTTCCAAAGTGATTGACTAAAAATTATGGAAAAGAAAAAACAGAGCTTCTGACATTCAATTGCACTGGTAATGTTAAAAGCGAGACTCCAAAGTGGGATGGAAGAAAATGCTGGAAGTATAACTTACTAAGTAAAAATATAAATGCTTCCTAATCAAGAAGCGAAATGTTGAAGCAAATTTTATTAGTTAGTGGTATGACTTGGAAGGCATAACATAATTATATACCGTATATAAGACACTACGTTAGTGATAGAGGCAGTTCTCCTAATTTGATAATTGATGCAAAGAATATCTCGTCCGTGTCTAGGCTTCAGTTAAACAGCTATTCTTTACCGCTTATCTTTGCCTGAAGAGTTGCTTCAGCAAACTGAGCCGCTGCAGACTCAGGAGTCGGATGAGCTGCTGATGCAAGTGCTGGGGCAGCCAGCTTGGTCACATTGTGGTATGCATTGCGAACTAGGGCATACGGGAAACATGCCTCCTGGAGGTTGGCTGTAAGACAAGGCGACAGACGGACAAGGCTATCGAATACGAGATAGACTGAATCACGGCCTGATTGTCTAGTCACTTGCTGATGCTGTGATTGGTGGCCGTGATGATAATGGCCCGAGCTGCCAGTCGCAAAGCCAGCTAAGAGGCTGGATCCAGCCCCTCCAGACCCACCACCACTGCTGCTACCGCTTCCGCTGCTTCCACTTATACCAGAAACGCTGCCACCTCCGCCAGTAGTAGTGCTGCCGTTGGAAGTTGAGCTAAAGCCAATAGAATTACTCGGACCACAAGAGGCCTCTGAGGAAATAACGGAGGATGACATTTCAAGACCAAGTCGAAGTAGGTTGGAGGAAGCAAGAGCCAGAAATTCGAGGCTTCGAGCCTCAAGATCTCCAGGTTTTAGTAGAGAAAAAGTTGCCACCTACATAGATTATGGTTTTAAGGGCCAAAAATGATCGGGAAGGAAACAAAATAAGGTATTATAAAATAATAATAAATTTAAATAAGATTACAAAAACCCTAGCACAAAAAAGGAACAAGAATGAAAGAGGAAATATATGGAGTGCAGTGTTTTGTTGATTAAGATGGAACTCAGCACGAATAGAAATTCCGGCGAAGAAAAAATACCTATAAGGGTAGTCAAAACAATCCTTGGTAGAAGGGAGGATTCGGGTCGCTTGTAGTAGTAAGACTAGTGGCGCTGTTGGTTAGGTGCTGGAAAGTATATTTATAATCTTTCTGTAGTACTTTGATTTAATACTACCCTAATGTGTGACAGCAACAATTTACACTGTAATGTAAATCAACACATAAACACATAGCCCACTCCTGCATCCTTTTTATTACCCTGATTAGTTCGAATCTAAAGGCTCCTTCTTAATGCCATCGATAGATGTTTTTCCAAAAAAGAGAACGGTCAAAAGTGGAAATACACAACAAATAAAATAATATTCGAAATAAGAATCATAAAAAAATGCATGCCATTAGAGCATTTATGGCGTAGGCACAACAATGCGCATTATTTTCGCAGGCCTCCAGGTCGACGCGGTAGAAACCAGATTCATGCCGAGCCAACCTTGGTAAGCTGATGGCAGTGAAGACCACAAAAAGACAAGCTACAATGTAGTCATGCTCAATCGCCGCCCTGCAAGCTTCGGCAGGGCTGCCAAGGCCAGAATTGACGGTACCAGCCGCTGCTGTGGCAGTCGACGGAGCCAAAAGCCGGCGGCTATTAAGGACAGAACAGAGACTGTAATCGAGGTCAGCCGAAATGCCCAGACTTGCAGCTAAGTGGTTCAGAACTAGCTGGTCGTCGAATCGAGCATAGATAGTCTCTGGATCGTCGGGCCTTCCATCAGGGCTGCGAGCAGCTGGAGAGCCCGGCCCCGGAGGAAGAAGTTGACCCCCAGACAACCGAGTCACATGTGAACGCAGGCTGTGCACAGATTTCAAGAGAAAGGGGGCATGCATCTGCGAAAAAGTAATAAAGTTACCAAAT